TTTTTTTACTGTAAAATGGTCCTTCATTTATATCCCCCTTTTCTGTTTACTTTTGTCAGAGATGTATATTCCATTGCCATTCATATATTGTAGGTACATGCATTCAGCAGAGTAATCCAATATAGTCCAGGAGTCCATAATAGTAGTGGGTTTTTCGTGTGACTGCAATGTCAGAAGTTGTTGACTTGAGCCTTCTACAGCTCAGCATATTAATATAGCTTTACTTTTTATGCCTCATTTTTATACTTTTCTGCTGGATGGTTAAGGCCAAGATAAAGCAAGACCTATATAACAAAAAAATGTAACTTTTGTATCTGACAAAGTCAGTGAAATCCCCTCAGGATTTTTATTACTAGTTCCCAAATTTAGTCTCTGTGTGGCTCAGCTTGGTGTTTATTGTTTTCTCCCTTGATTTTCAGCGGAGATAAAAATCTGCTTCAAATACTACCACGGCATCAGCGGAGCTCTGCGGGCCACCACGCCCTGCATCACCGTGAAGAACCCGGCTGTGATGGTGAGTGAGTCCCGAGAGCACCACGTGGGCAAAGTCTTTTTCCTGTGCAGTCCTGGTGTGGCTAGAGGGTCAGTAGTGAGAAAGCTTTGCTGCCCGGGCACTGTACAGGGGAGGGAGACCCCCAGAACTGCAGTCCTGGGGTGGTGCAGCTCAGCAGGTAGCTCCCTGCTCTCAGTGTCCTGGGGAGCCACTCAGCAGCACCACAGGGACCAACGCAGAGCTGAGCTCAGGCTGGTCCAGCCGACCAAGAGGTAGGAAAGAGTGGGGCTGTGTCCTGGGTGAATATAACTGACAAATTCAGGAACTAGGAGAGAAAAGGGTGATTCTGCCTTCTAGTACACTCAGACAGCGAGTGTAAGATAAGCGCTGCCAACAGTGTGCTCGGCCCGAAGCCTCAGGAGGCCTCAGGGCTCCGGCCCTCTGGCGCTGGGCTGCTGTCTGTGCCTGAAGACTCCACTCGAATTTTCTGGCAAAACCCGGTCGCTCTAGGGAAACCAACTTCTCCAAGCCGGTTGTGTTGGACTTTGAAAGAAGCATGTCTGTGCCTAGCCGGTGCTTGCCCGAGGACTAGCTGTGCACAACTTTGTGATTTCTTTTCACCCAATCAACTAACTACAAATCTACCCTTTTCACAGGGTGGGGCTCCATTGTACTTGGGAGCTGCACTCAGGAGATTTGGGGAGGTTCTCAGAGCCCGAGATATGTACATCTTTGTAGTTTGTATTGTTCAGTAAGAAACTGAAGGTCAGAAGGTATAGAAAAATGTTAGTTCTCATGATGTAGAATCTTCAGAACTATGTTATGAGCATATATATATATATATACATATTCCCTCTTATAGATGGTTGCACTTTTGGAAATAGGTAAGTGTCCAAGTTGATTTCTTAAATTCAGAGAGTAATTGAAATCGTCTAGATCTACCCTGTGCCCATGCCTCTGAATCGAGCAGTCTTTTCTTTGTGGTCATTTATTGAAATGAATATTCATTGGGTGCACGGAGCCCACCACTAGAGGTGTGGTAAGAGAGACGCAGCTGCGGCTCCCATTGGCCTACTGAGAAGAGCGACATCAAGCACATGACTGTATTCCTTGGTGGGATGATCGTGTGGGGGAGAGTAATGGAGGCATGACACAAGCCTCTGGGATCTGTCCTAGGCAGGAGTGCATGAGGGACGGTCCAGAGCGTGAGTGGAAATAAAGTTGTATCTGAGTCCCCATTAGTCAGCCTAGTACAGAATACCAGAAAATGACGTGCCTCACTATATAAAACTTCAACAGTCTCAGCACGAGAATAACATTCTGTACATGTGTGTGTCTGTGTGTGTGATGCCAGGATCGAATTCAGGACCTTGCCCTGGCCAGGCAGGCATTTATGACCCTGAGGCGTAGCCCCAGCCCTGAGAATACCAATTGTTGGCCATAACATCTGCCATTTCACAGAATAAGCACCGGAATTGAATGGTCTTTGCTGTAGTTAATATTCTAAAAGAAAAGTTACAAAACTAGAAGAGTGATACTGTTTATAATAAAACCTCTGAAAAGTCATGGTGTGACAATGACTAATGTGAATTACATTACAATTTCAATTACTCTCTGAATTCAAGAAATTAGACAAGAATTAATGTGAATTACGTTTCTGGATTCAGAGCTTTAGAGTCTTGAGCAGCTTTGATACCCCAGTCCCAGCGAAGGCAGAGGGTGGATTACAGCCTGCTGAGCATTGATTTTGTTTCATAGATTTTTCATTGAGACCACTACTAAGCCTGGACATAGTTGACAATGACTTAATTTGCTTCATACATATTTTTGTGTCATCTTAGCAGCTGCATAGACACAGCACTGGCAATCAGTAAAGAATATTGGGGGCTGGGAAGATAGCTCAGCGGTCTAAGTATCTGCCTGCCAAGTACAAGGACCAGGTTCAATCCCCAGTACTGCATGCTGTGCTGGCCCCAGAACCCTGATGCGCTGTGTGGGCCAGCTATACCAAATGAATAAATAAATAACTTTAAAAAAAGAAAAGAATATTGAGGTTCACAGGAAGACGAATGGGCTGGTGGTCAACCGTGTTGGCCTGGTGGGGACCATTTGGGCCTGTGCTTGGGCGTGAAGGGGGTCCCGGTCGGAAGCTCTCCTGCAGCATGGTGGCCCCTCAGTCTAAGACACACGGGCCGTTGTCATGGCTGGGTCACAGCGCTCATGTTCCCAGAGCTTGCTTTATGATCTGACCACGACCTGATGCTGGGAACAGACGGGGAGGAACAGGGTGAGAGACTCCAAAGGAAGAACAAGCCCCTCGCAGTCTCACCTTTCTCACGGATCCTCTTGTGGTGGTCGAGGGCTAATGAATAATTGTGTCTTCTTTGTCATTTGTGCTTTGGTGTCATTGCCATTTATCAGAGCGCACAGTGATGCGTGTCTCAGTACCTGGGAACTGGAAGTCCTTTGGCCACAGGGCCAGATTACGGCCAGCCCGCACCGCCTCTCATTGCTTTGTGGTTGGCTGACAGCGCTTGCTCGGTGTTCCTGGATGAGGCTGTGGCGCATGTTTGTTAAAAGCCCCTCTCTAAGCACTGAGCGCAGAGGCGTTCATTATCCCGAGTGTCCCCGGGTTTCCCATAGTAGTTGGTCTTTCTTGGCTTTATTCTAACAAACAAGAATTTCTTGCGTATTATTTTTATGAATTCTTTGAGTGTCATTTGAGATGAACATTTTGGCAGAGAGGTCGTGCACAGTACGACTTTTATGCAAATTCCTCAGGAACGGTTCCATATTAGCAGTGGGTTACATTTTAAAAATAGGAACTAGAGGACTTTGTTGTTCTTCATAATTTTCGACACTATTTTAAGTGGGTTTTAAATTGAGATAGGCCGTGAATCGTTTCAGTCTTGAGTAATCCACATAGGTGCGGGGTGCTTGGAGTGACCACTCTTGCTGGGCAGCGTGCTCCATCTGAGGTAAGGCCTGGCCGGTGGCTGTGTGGCTGCCTCAGCTGTGGCCTGCACTCCTGGCCATCGTCTGAGGGTGGCTGGTGGAGAGGCAGCAAGATGGGGTGGTCACAGGGAGGGGACAGCTGGCTGCTTTGCAGCTGCCCTCCTTGTCCTGATCGTCTGGAGTGAGGAGTCAGAGGAGGACAAAACCGTACAGCAGACCTCAGGCATCTGCTGAGCTCCACATCTGTGGGCCCCAAGGAGCTGGTTCTACAGATGGGATGAGAGAAAAATGCCTGGATGGTGCCCAAAATGGGCAGATCAAGAAGCAGTCAACTGTCACACAAAGTAGTCTTGATTAAGGTACAGGAATTAGAGAGAGCAGGAGAAATTTCTCCTTTAAAATTTGAACTGTGCTTAGAATTTCTTTTGTAATTTCTCAACTTTTCATGGATTAGTGATGCTTTTCATCTCTGGATGGGATCTTTTTACAGGAGTGTAGGGCGTGGAGAAGGTGTCAGAGAAAAGCAGCGTTGGCTGGTAGTGAAGATAAAGGCAGATTGTAGTGAGGAGCTAAGGGAAAAGAGGCCCCATGTAGAATGGGCTCCATTCCAAATACACAGTGGAAAGTGAGGTCATAGCTAAGGGGCAGAGCTGGGGAGATGGGGTCAGCAGTGGAAGCTACCGTGCGGGCAGAAGGCGGGGCGATTCTTGCCTAAGAGACTTCTTGCTGCAGGTGGTCAGAGCGGTCAGACACCACTAGGGATGGAGGCTGGAGGCTGAGAAATTGGGCGCATGCTGGCATCCACGTACTGAGGGGAGGATTCTCTTCGGATGCACAGCAGGGCTTTTACTGAAACTTAGCTCTGCGAAGACGGAGGTGGAAGCCCAAGTTTGGCCCCAGTTGAACAGAAGGCCCAGGAAGACTTGGTTAAAGTTTGGTCAGAAAAGAATGCTTGTGGGGGGCTTACTCTGAACCTTAAAATTGAAGTGGGATTTCCATTTTCCAGCTGCTCAGAACACGTCCCGCCTCCGCGTTGTCTTTCCAGGGTCGCAGACTTCTTTTTCCGAGCATCAGCAAGGTCTTCTGCCCTGGCGCACCATAAGTGCTGCACTAATCCTAATACACCGAGGGAAAGGCCTAAATTTGCCGTGCAGTCTATAAATCCCTGGTTTTGTGGGAGATATAATTTACTTAAAAGCTTTCAGGGAAAAGTTATCAGTACAGTAGCATCACAAAGTCTTATTGTTTCCAATTATAATAGTGTGTGCTGTGTACCTACAACTCGATAGAACAGAACTCAAAAGGCAGGTAGGATGCCTGCATGCACATTCAGGTACTTTCTGAGTGAGGGTCGTTCTGTACATGTGGATGAGTCTGATATAAATATACCATTTGTTCTAAGTTTTCCTAATAAGCCTGAAGAAATTTACTGTTTGCTTCTAGACCAAGTAGAATGATGAATATGGCACTAGCAATATTAGTGCATTTCTTACATAGCTATATTCTTTTTTATGTATTTAGTACCAGTCTACAGGGTCCAATTACATAGATCGGACTCGTAGTGATCTTCCTGTTTTCAGCCTCCCAAACTGGGATTACAGGTGTGCACCACCACATCCAGTCTCAATCGCCATCTAAGCAAACCCCCGGAGGCAGGGCCTACACAGCACACTGGGGATTGTTCTTCTTCTTCTTTTTTTTTTTTTTGTGGAACCAGGGATTGAACTCAGGCCCTTGCGCTTGCCAGGGAAGTGCTTATTCCACTGAGCCATCTCCCCGGCTCTCCACACTGGGGATTGAACCCCTGGTCCCTGCATCTGCCTAAGCAGGAGCTTTAGTTCGCTGAGCTATCTGCTGGCCCTCCATAGCTATATTCTTATTAAGGGAAAAGGGAAGTGTGAATATCCTGGTTGACAGTCATCAGGGATTTCAAAGATTATTTGTAAATTTGGGGTAAGGATTACATTGAACCATGCTCCTACTCTTGGCTTTGAGAATGCACACTGTGTCTCTATTTCAAGATTTAGAAACTTAAAGACATATGCAATGATGCATTTTGATTAAAAAAGAAAAAAAAAAAAACCATTTCTGTGTCTGTGAACACATGTGTTCCCCTGGGAGATCGGGTAGCATCATTCTCGCTGGAAACTTCAGGTGTGTGTCTTTCCTCTTCAGATGGGGGCAGAAGGCATGGAAGGAGGCGTGTCAGGAAACCTACATTCCCGGAAGCTGGTGAGCTTCACACTGTCAGGTAAGAATGCCTTCACGGGACAGCCAAGTGAGGTGAACCTTCTAGAGCTTCCGAAGATCCAAACAGCCACGGTGGCACCCGTGCCCTAGGTTCGCCACCCCTGATCTGTTGTCACCCCCTGCACACTTTCACAAGACACATGGTCTAGCTCTGGGGCTGGAAATGCAAGTCTGTCTCTTACCATGATAAGCTTAGGTTACTAATGTAAATCGAGACGTGATTTCTAGCAAGGCTTTTGGTGATAAAGGACCACATAACTGTGTAGTCACTAGAACTGGCACATAGTGGGTGCTAATTTCACCAAGAAGCTTTGATTATTTTAAATAACTTGTGCTTTCTTCAGCTAGAGAAAGGAAAAATTGAAGATTAGGAGGAAGAACTCAGAGTGAACCTCTTTATCCTGTGGGGACATGCACATAAAAATCAGAAAGAGTTAAGACTGTTTTTTGTTTGTTTTCTGGACAAATGCTTGTCATGCAGGTAAAAGCACTGTTTCAAGTTGAATTGGGTAAAAAACTAACCATTTTTTACTAAAGAGTTGAATATCAAATTTCACTACTGAATGGAATTTTCCCAGAACTTTGGTGTAGGCTAACAGACTTTCACACAAAAATGTATTTATGTGTGTCCTGGTTGCAGTGTAAGATTTTTCTATGTGTTTTGTACCTAGGTCACTAAAAAAATTGAAAGCCACTGTTTCAAAAGTATGAATCATTGGTCATAAAGTCAGGCATATGCTCAGGAATTTAATAGCTGGACATTAAAATATTCATCAGCTATGTCTGAGGGGCAAAGCAGACAGCTGCTCTGCAGGGTCCTCCAAGTCAAGTCTGCTGTCTGTCACCAGAAGCTATTTGTTTTTATTTTTTGCTAGAAACAATGGTTTTGTGTGTGTGTATGTGTGTGTGTGTGTGTGTGTGTGTGTGTGTGTGTGTAACAGGGGATTGAACTCAGGCCCTTGCACTTGCCAGGGAAGCACTTATTCTACTGAGCCACCTCCCTGGCCTGCAATGGTTCTGAAATTGAAATTAGGTCCACTTTTCCTGACTGCAAAAAATGTGAATGAAAACAGGCATTCTTGGAAGTAAGATCTTGAAAACAGACAATTCTTCAAGGCCCATCGTGCGTGACAAGTGTCCACACGTCGCTGGCCCTTGGGCCTCAGGCCTGCGTCTGTCTTCCTACCTCCCCACCTCCCCAGAGGCTGCCTAGCAGCGCCTCTTTTGCTGTGGCTCTGTGGTGCTTTCCAGAGGTATAAACTGGTGGCTTTTGGTTCCAATTTGAATAACAGCTCTGTCTTGCTTGGAACACATAGGATTGTAAACCACTCTAGGCTTATATAAGTGGCATTCAAAAGTGCCGCCGCCTGTGCTGTCCGTTGCAGTATCCCCCTCCCGTGCCTCCTGAAGACCTTTTGGTTGCCCGGGACACGTGTAGTCCTGAGGGCTGCAGGTACTCATGTCCCTGGCTCCAGCGGGGACCAGTAAGCCAGCCCCGGGTGCTCAGGAAGCTGGAGTTTGATCATACTATGCCTTTCTTTCTTTTTTAAATACCAAGTTAAACTTACATAGATGGAATGCAATACAATATTTCCATATAGTCTGCGGATTTCTTAGTTTAGAGTAGCTGCCCTTTGTTTTCATTGATCTGTGTCATGCTGAACACAACGAGGATGTGGTGATCTTGCCTCCAGAGGCTGTTGGTGCCTTATCTTGGGAAATCTGGAAGGTTTTTATCTTTCCTGCTTTCCTGACGAGTAGGAAACGCATTGGTGACACAACCAAATACTTCTTTAAACGCTTCTCCCTACATTCTACTTCTAGTCACCTGGAGGCTGCAACCCAACATCCATTTTATTTCCTGCCCTGTAGTCAGCCCTGCTGTGTGGAAATGCTTCCAGACATACAAGATGAAAGCAATTCTGCCCTGTGATTCCTAAAAGATTAATCTGGCTGTGGCCTACTGACAGTGTATGATAATCTGAGACCGTGAATCCTGTGTAATTTTTACCTATAAATGCTCTCCATTTGATTGTCAAAGTATAGGTAAGGACACTAATTATTAAACTCTATAGCTAAAACAAAAATTGCTTTGATTAATATTTTAAGCCTCCTCCAAATAAGGCTGTACCAGTGTGTGTGTGTGTGTGTGTGTGTGTGTGTGTGTACGTACACGCACATATGTGTGTTGCTGGGACTCAAACCCAGGGCCTTGTGCATGCCAGGCAAGAGCTCTACCACTGAGCCACATCCCCAGCCCTGCACCAGGACATTTAACATTTCATACATTTGTGATTTTGAGTCCTTCCGAGGCCTATTATGTAGGGTGGATATTTATGCACTGTAATATTCAGAAAAGAGAGAAGCTAGGATAGAAATGAAATGGATAAGGGACACTGAATCATCAGATTAAACAATTGATAGGTTAGCGTATTTATGAATCAAGTGTCTTATCTCTCACTGCAAAAGGTTTTGTATCAGGGTTACCTAACATCTCAAGAAGATGCTGTCTTACCACAGTGACGCCGCAGTCTTCAGGTAAAGTGCTTTTTGTTCAAAGCAGTGGTTTTGTGAAAGGCTTAACCCTGTTGGGCTCCGGAGCAGCCATATCTGCCCTTGCTACAGGGAGGGCCCTTGTTCAGCAGTAGATTTCATATCTAGAAAATACAATTTTCTCCCTGAGTCTAAAGTAAGCATACTCAAGAAAGGCAAGAAAATCAAATTATAGATTATATTTTCCTCTCAGAGTTACGTTATGCTAAGTACACCCAAGTGAAAGCATGTGGCAGTGCTAACTGGCCAGTGCAATGCGGGTGCTGGACTCCTTAAGGACTCTGCCATTTGGGAAGTGCGGCGCTGCGCACAGGGCTTGTGAGGATAGTCAGAGTCAGCAGGTGTTTTCCTGTCTGGACCTTTACCCTCCCCTGGAAACTTCCAGACCAGAGAACTTACTATGTTTCATGCATATTGTTGAGGTAAGGTTTTCTTGGGTGAGCATTCCAGCATTTGCTGGCCCGTGAAATTGTCCCCTGTGCTTCTGGGTGTCATTGGACCATCTGTTTCTGTCCTGTGTAAGTAGGCCCCAAGTTCTTATGGCCATTGGCACTTCTCCTCCAGGAAGCCTGCTCTAGAGAATCGGGTGTTTTGTCTTGTTTTGAGGGGTGGAAGCTGTAGACCAAACCCAAGAAAGACCTTCTGTGTGGAGATGCCCCTGGGAGCTCCTGTAATGCAGGGTGAGAACTGCGGCTGCTCCCCACGCGGGTCTGGGTCATCCAGGGGCTTCCACGTGCAGAATTTGTCTCTGAACCAAAGAGCTCCCTACACTGATCCTAACCACATAAGGCTACCCAGTTTCTTCTTCCATAAGCTTTCATCATTACTTAGCTCTCAGCTTTGTAGTGACTAGCTGACAGTCTCAGTAAGGCTTTGGGGACCCAACGGAGCCGCTTAGTCCCTGACACTTTTGTACTCTTAAACTCAATTATTTTAAAAAATGTTAATGTCCTCACCAAATGAACTCCAGCTAGGACCTCTAGCAGTCTATGCTTTGGGGAATAACAGTTTGTAAATCTACAATGAGTGTGTAAAAAATCCATTAGATTTTGTTTATCCATCAGATATTTAAGTTACTTTGTAGGCCATGGAAAAGTAACTGTAGAATTATTTAAAGTAGCAAGTAGCATTCACATTTTATAGCCACGTTCGGTGTGTTTTTCCTGCTCAGTACTCATTACACATCTGGAATACATTTGGCGTTTAAATGTGGCACAAAAGGACCTGTTCTTGGGAGTTCCCCATACATCTAAACTTAATTCAAACCATTTCCATATATATATATGGGCACGACTCATCTGGTTCTAAGTAAAGTGCCTGCTGAGGGTTCCTCTCAAGCCATTGCATGAGACTCTGTTTGCCAAACTACAGCGCAGTGTGAAGAAGATGGTGAGGACGTATGTACGTACACCCTCGAGAGTCCCAGGGAGTCAGTGGAGGACGTGGGCCAGGACGTTGCTCTCCTTGTGCCGCTGGTCAGGAAGCCCTGCTTCCGCGACATGCGCCAGCCACTGTCCGCGCTCTCCTGAGCAGTCACGGTGTGGTGACCTGCCGCCAGGCTGCTGAACCTGTTCAGAGAATACTGTGTGAGGCTGAGGAGCAACCTGTCTTCACGCTGCTCCTTTAATCATGGCGTGTGTCTCTTTCCTTCTTCTGTTTCCCCTTCTCCCCCTCTCTCCTTCCTCCTTCCTTGTCGCTCCCTCCTCTCTTTCTTTAAAGACCTTAGGGCAGTTGGGCTAAAGAAAGGGATGTTCTTCAACCCTGACCCTTACCTTAAGATGTCCATCCAGCCAGGGAAGAAGAGCAGCTTCCCCACCTGTGCCCACCACGGCCAGGAGAGAAGGTCAACCATCATCAGCAACACCACCAACCCGATCTGGCACCGAGAGGTAAGGCAGGCCCAGGCGCTTCCCCTGGACGGGACTCGTCCTCCTTGCCTCTGAGCTCTACACCCGAGCTGTTCCCTGGTGTGGGAGAAGGCTGGGTCCCAGCTTGCTGGCAAGAGTGACAAGAAAGCTCTCCCCAGGTCTGTGGGGGGCGGGAGATGCATTCGCTGTGAGCGCAGCTTAAGGGTCTGCCATAGACTTGGCCATCAAAATAGATACCTTAAATATTTTTTAAAACATCGGGGGCCTGCCCCTTAGCTCAGTTCTTTAAGTGGCTGCTTCAACAAAGCAGTCAGGCTCAGGTTGCTGTGGTTCGATCCCCACAACTCAAGCCAGTCAAACCTGCCCTGAAGGCATTCGGAGAAAAAAAAATCAAAGTGAGTGCAAAAAGTTCACGATGAATGCAATACTATATATAGATATATATATCCAATATCTGATTCTTACATTCTTACATGGTCAGTGAAAGTGCTGGGCAAACGTGTCACAGACCCTGGGGCAAAAGGAGCACTCGGTAGCGTGATCCTGTGTTGACTTCGAATGTTTGCGGCTTTGGCAAACCTTTTGCGGCTCCTAGATGTTCTGTGGTGGAGCCGTAGAGCAGTTGCCACCACGGGCGAAGGCACATGGTGCCAACGGTGGTCCACACTTAGTGCTCCGGATCCATGAAATCAGGCAAACACTTTTTCCTGGGAACCACGGAAAGGCAAAAGATTAACAAAGAGATCTCATCTTTCTCATCTTGTGAACCAAGTGTAGTGTTAGAACGTTTGTGGGTTGTACACACAAGAGTATGCCCTAAATCTCTAAGGACAAAGATACACACTTTGTTGTTTATTTGAGGGAGAGAGCTAAGAGCAGCTGAGGAGATGGAGTGGCTCTGGGGTCCTTGTCAGCACGCGAAGTCTCTGTCGGTTCCTCTGGCTATGTGAAAGGAGGTTGCCCATGTTCTTCTATCTGATTTTAAAAACTACTTACAACCCCTAATGACAATGAATTCCTGAAGGCATACCAGTTAATCTAACAAATTTCAAAGTCTACAGACATAAATTATATCTCAGTGTGAGCTTAGAAGGTTATAATGAATAAGGTAATGAAACACGCTATCATTTTATATTTACAGAGTTCTTTTTTTTTTTTTTTTTTTTTTTTTTTTGGTACTGGGGATTGAACCTCTAACCTTGTGCTTGCCAGGCAGTCACCTATGCAGCTGAGCTGTCTCCCTAGCCCATATTTACAGAGCTCTTGACCACATTGCTAGTGCCAGCCTGTCGGGGAGGCAAAAGGGATGCGATCACCAGCTCTCTGCTTTGGTGGCTAAGACACTGTCACTTGAAGTGTCATTGTCGCTGCTACGCAGAGGCAGCAGGGCAAAAGCGGAGCTTTCTTATTTGGAATAAGTGCTTTTTATCCCAGTTAGCAGACTGCCAAGTGGTCTGATCCTTGGAGAACTTTAATTGTTGTAAGTGAATAAACTTAGTGGCGCCTCAGTATCAGGTTGGCTGGCGAGATTCCAGTCGAGGCAGCTGCAGGGAGTCTTCTGGGGCCGCAGCAAAAGGACTCGGGCTGGGCTCCTGGCTCTGTGGTGTGCTCGTCCTGAGGGCCTCACTTTGGAAATGGTATCTTAGCAAATATAAAACGAATAAAGCTTCTCTTCTATTTATTTTTCTTTGTTGCCATCCACTCACTTTCCTCCTACTTAAAGGATGAAGTCCCTCTTAAGCTCACACTTTTGCTTTTCTTGTCCCAGAAAAAAAATGACCTCATATGTCTTTGAGCTTCAGCAATAATTCCATTTAAACATTGTTCTAATTTCATAGAACAATGTTTAAAATAAACATTGATTTCTTTTAAACAATGATTTTATCAAGGAAATCACAATATGCTGTAGACGCTCCTACTTCCTAGGTTGGGGAACAGTTTAACTGTGTTCTGTGACTTTAAAATCCCGTAAGATTAGGAATATAAAGAATCACTAATCAAATATATCGTTAAGGGGTGGGGAAGTAGCTCAGTGGCCTAAGGGCCTGCCTAGCAAGTGCAAGGTCCTCAGTTCGATCCCTGGTGCCCAAACAAACAAACAACTCAAATATACTAGTTTGTCTTAAATCATCCTATAACAAGATATCAAAGATCAGAAATTCAAGCACCACTTGCACACTGAGTACCGAGATTGCGTCGAGTAGGCTTGGGAGCTTGGCCTTCTCCTGACGCGCCAGGCCAGGCAGGGCTGCGTGATGGAAGGGAAGGGCTGCTTTGGCTTCTCAACTGGGGAGCTTCTTGGTCACTGTGAACGCTCATGGCTGCGTCTGAAAACGGGCGTGGTGACGGTCACAGATATTGCTCATGCTGTGTCCTCTGTGTCCCGAGAACTTGGGAGACGTCATTTCCTGTAACACAGAGTGACGCAACGATTGGTTTGTTTTTCCTCTGCGCCAACACACAGCCTCTGTTGTTTTGTTTTTTTCAGAAATACTCCTTTTTTGCACTGCTAACTGATGTCTTAGAAATTGAGATTAAAGACAAATTTGCCAAGAGCCGTCCCATCATCAAGCGCTTCCTGGGGAAACTGACCATCCCGGTGCAGAGGCTGCTGGAGCGCCAGGCCATCGGGTAACTGCGGCGGCGGCCGGGCGCGCTGTGCGGGGGCCGGCAGGGTGCTCGCGAGGCCTGGGCTCGCCCTGCTGACAAGAAGTGGCAACAAAACTGAAAATAAAGAAGTGCACTTGCAGGCCCTAAACTGTCCTGGGCCGAAAGCTTTAATTACATACCTTGGTCGGATTATATACTTTTTCTTGGTATTTTTATCTTTCCTAAGGTGCATTCACATTTCAGCTTCATCTCATAGCTAAACCACTTTTCTGAGTATACAGAACTCTTCATACGAGACTCTGGCCCTAGCTTGAGCAGAGTCTCAGTGCAGATATTTTCCTCGTCCTGGTTCATCCTGCCCAGGGAACCCGCCATTCTTCAAGACAGAAACAACCTGATTTGGGGGCCAATTACAATGGGACCCAGATAAGGGGGTGCTGTGGTTAGTGTCTAGATATCTGCATCTATTCAGGCAGGGGCAGAAGTGTAAGCTGCTGTTTCTTTTTTTTCTGTGAGTTTTGGAAGTCGTGGTGAAGTTGTTAAGAGATCCTAACATACTTCCAACCCTTACTGTGTTGTGTACATTTTTATACCGTAAGACCCAACAAGCTCAATGCCACGTACTCTGGGGTGGCACTGATGGGCAGCTTGCACGCTTATCTCACCCAGAGAAGAACCAGCCCTGGAATCCATGTGGGCTGGAAGGGAGTCCACCATGGACTCCTAAAATACCAGGATTAGGAGACATTTCTCCATAGATTAAAGCATTGTGGTGATGCTACAGATTTTTATGTCAGTTGCTAACATACAAATGTGCTTCTGATCAATTATTACTTTTCAGCAAATACTTGATACAGCTCCAAGAATGCTGTACTTGGATTAGTGGTGCAGCTCTCTGAGATCCTTGAGGCTTTACAGGGTGTGGATTCTAGCACAAGCAAGAGCTCCTGGCCTGTGTCCTATTTTGAGCGCCTTTGTTTAAATGTGACATTTCACCAAAGTGGGCTGTATCCCTCCAGAAAAGCATACCACATCCTATGCTTTATCAATTTCTGATTATAAATTGACTGAGAGATTATTTTAGTCAACCAGTAGAGTCCTTTGGTGCTTGTTTTTCATAATCATGTCATAATAATACATGATGTATTCTTCAGGGATACAGCAGGGAGAGTGGGAGTGGGGTGGATAGGGCAAGCTTTGCTGATAGACGTTCAGTGAATAAGGAAACTCTTGACCTGGAATCGATGGACAATAGGGAGGGCTTCCTGTACCGATAAGAAGAGTGATTGTACTGAGTATTTTGTCAATTAAGATTCTTTTTTCCAGGTAGAGTCAGTATTGGTCACTTTCCTGTCACTGGGACAAAATACCCCCCACCTGCAACTTTAAGGAATCTATTTGGCTCATTTTCCTGTGGGTTCAGTCCATGGTCAGCTGGCTCTGAGGCAGGAAGGGTGTGGTGGAAGAGACCAGAAGAAGACAGCTGCCCATCTCAGGGCAGCCAGAGAAAGCAGGGAGGAGCTGGGGACAGGAGAACGGCCTGTCAGGGCACAGCCCAGTGACCTAGCTTCCACCAGGCCCCATCCGCTGATAGCAGTTCAGCTGTGAACTCATCCATGGAAGACTCGTTGATCAGTACAGGGCCTGCCCCGTGATCCTGTCATGCCTCAAGTGTATAGGACTTACGGGGGACATTTTATATCTAAACGCAGCCCCCAAAGGGCTCATGCACGTCTCACTATGTAAAATGAATTTAGCCCATTTCTATGAGTTGACAGAGTAGTTCCAGCCTTGCCAGTAAGTCCGAGTCCATGCTGTTAGCTGTGAGCCCCTGTAAAAGTCGGAAGGAAAGATAAGTACTTCCAGCATACAGTAATGACACAGGAATGCTCATGTTCCAAAAGGGACAGAGAGGTGGGGGTATAAGGGGTGGGAGCAAGAGCAGAACCCGGGAGGGCCAGCACTAAACCTGCAGCCGCTCATCCAGCACTGGGGCAGCTTGTGTGAGAGCTCAGCTCCAAGGGCTTGGCTGGCCCTGCCCCGTGGGCCATTGTCTTTCAGACCTGATGACCTCTCCTGGACTGCCCGTGTTCACTGCCTGTGACTGCAGTCAGCGGATGCCCATGCGCTTAGCATCCCCGGCTCCCTGGGGTCTCCACTGCCCCTTGGCCTCGTTCCCACACCTTCCCACACTGCCCTTTCCGTGTACTTCCTGGCCTCCAAGGCCTTCCTTTGAGACAACCTGGATGGGAGCGTCCCTGGCCCCACAGCGCTTGCATTGTGCATGTCACGCGTGTGACGCCAAGGTGTGCTGCTGGCTCAGTCAGTAGCTGGGTCCCCCGGGTCATGGCTGTGGTAGCCTCTGACTGCTTGGATGGCTGAGGTCAGGCGAGCGCTCCCCCAGGTGGCCTGAATCTGCTGGGCTTGGGCCTCTTCTCAAGGCAAAGGTTTCAGAGTGGTTTACCTTTTCTACCTTTTGAATTCCCTGGATATGTGAGCCAAATCAACCTCTCTGCCTTTAAGCTGTGGGTGTCATGTATTTTGTCACAGTGACAGCAGATCTGATTGATAGAGTGCCCCCACTGTATGTTCCATCAAAACAGTATACATCAAGAAAAGAAAAACTTGTATAGATACTTTAATACTAAATTTACTGGTATATCATGAGGGTAACACAAGTTACCTTTGGCCTTTACAATCATAAGAGGTGCTCAGAGTGGTGGCCATTAGCCTCCACACAGTTATTAGCGCAGTCAACTGTGAGGCTGGGGATGCAGTTCTTGCAGACTCTGTTACAATCTTACTAGATACACTACCGCAGCTGTAGCAGCGTGCTGGGTACTGTGATGAGACAGCGACTGAACAACTGGGAGTGTGTGGCAGCCCTTTCCTTACAGGGCTTAGAAGATCCTTAACGCCTTGCTAAAACCCATTGCTTATGTAAATCATCATGAACCCCAACACTTGACCTTGATTGCCCAAGGAGGAGTGGAGGAGAGTTCATTTGTTTTGATCCAGAAAATAATGCTTTTATTATTAAAGACAGAGTATCCAAAGAGATGGGTGAGGAGCAGCACACGCTGGGTGTGGACTGTTTAATGTGCTACTGGGCTGAACCCACCTGTGTGTCAGCCACAGGGCTGGAGCTCACTGAGGGGAGAAGAGGCCGCCCTGCAGTGGCGCAGGTTGCAGCCACCTGTGGTGTCTGTGCAGGTGGCTTGGCAAGCCTGGAGGTCTGGGACTTGCACATGCCAAGGTCCTTTTGCAGAGGGCTTCTCTACAGCACCAGTGTAGTGGAGCCATGGATAGTGGCCACAGTAAGGTGACTCACAGTCCAGATGTCACCAGCCTGTGTGCTCCTGGAAGGCTGTCAGGCAGTGTCTGCAGGCTGAGCTGGGCTCTGTGTCAGCAAGGCCTGTGCCCAGTCCCAGGTCCGTCCCTGTGTAGCTGCCTGGCCACGCCTTAGCTTCCTCCTCCTGGAAACAGGGTTGCCTCTTAGCGTGCAGGCTGCCAGGAAAACTAGAGGAGGTGGTGACACAGCCCTCAGAGTGTGTGTGCCACGCCGCAAGGGTCGCCCGAGAAAAATTTTCTCCACACCCTTTCTGGGGAAGAAAGAGAACTGAGGAATTCTTGCAGTTAAGTCAGAAGAGTCTGTAAGAGCCAAGCTGGGGTTGAGCTAAACAGCAGATTTCAGTATTAGCTCTGTGCTGAGGAGACAGGCAACAAGTTACACAGAGGACTCTTTCCTAGCAAGCAGCTGACTCCTTGGCAGTTAGGCAGAGGTGTGGTGCTGTCCTGAGCAGCCAGTAGGGGGCGGTGTGAGAGCAGAGCCTGCTCCCTCAGACTGCTCTGAAACCCTGCCTTTGATAATCTCCTCTAAGCAAAACCTACTCCATCCAGGATAAGAGTGTTTGTGTTCAAGTAAATGAAGCAGTTGCCACTTGCATTTGACTTTGATTAATAGACATGAATGTGACATGCTGGGCAGTTCCAGCCTTGAAGAAGCTGCCAGCCCGAGCCTGGAACCTGGTGGGGCCAAGTCCAGCAGTCGTTTTGGTGCCCTGCAGTACCAGGTGTGGGACCCAGGCCCCAAACTGTGGCTCCTCTGGCTGCTCCAGCCTGCCTCTCAGCATCACTCTCGAGCAGTGACAGGCAGGCTCCCTGGAGGGAGACCAAAGTGCACCCCCTGTAAGGGGAGGGAGGAGAGGCTGGTCCCCCCACACCCTCAGCCGAGCTGCGGCCCGTGCCTGTGTTTCCCTGCTGGTCATTTCCCTCGCAGCCAGCTTTCCTGTCATCCCTGGCTTCCCAAGTGTTCCCTTCGGTGAGTGAGTCCTGACTGGTGGACTTCATGCGCCTTGGGTCTGCGTTTCCTGTACTCCCACGTCTGCAAGTCCTACGGAACTGGGAGGCCTTGGGGTGGCTGTGGGAAAAAGTCACAGGGGGACGCCGAGTGTGAGGAGGGTGACAGCCCTGTGTCCTCTGGCAGAGATCAGATGCTGAGCTACAACCTGGGCAGGAGGCTCCCGGCCGACCACGTGAGCGGGTACCTGCAGTTCAAGGTGGAAGTCACGTCCTCCGTGCACGAGGGTGAGTGCCTCTGTGCGCGCCTCCTTGGCAGAGTGCGTGGGAAGAGAGCGGAACGTGTGTCCCGTCCTAAAAAGACAACAGTTTTCAGATGCGTGCCTGTGGCAGCTGTGGAGGCAGAGAGGCGAGTCTCTTCATGAAACACTGTCTCATGGGCTGTGCCTGCATTTTGAAACCGGCTGAAGAATTTCCGATGATAGCTGACATTCATAGCTCCTATGCCGACCCGACTGGCACTGCACCTGCGAGGGGGGCTTAGCAAGTGGGTGCCAGCAGCAGGAGGCTTCCGTGGGAGGCTACACCCTGGACTGACAGCCTGGTGGTTGGTCAGGAGAAGTTCACTTGCTATTTCTTTTTTTATTTAATTTTATTTATTTATTTTTAGATAGCAACTTGCTATGTAGTTCAGGCTAGCCTTAAACTTCCTTTGTGGCCCAGGCTGGCCTCAGATTAGCAGGGATCCTCCTGCCTCAGCTTCCTGTGTGCTGGAATTACAGGTGTGCACCATCACACCCAGCTATTGCAGTTTTTTATTTGTGCACATTTGCAGTCCGCGATCATGGCATCTGTGATGAGGAGCTGGTCCCTGTACACAAGACATCTTACATCTTTTTATGTCCCCTTCTCCTCCCCTCCCCCACCTCACACTCCCTCTCCGGGGGTCTCTCCCCCACGTCCTAGCACCTGTCTTCTATCTTGCTCCTTAATTTAATTATACTTTGGGTTTCTAATGAGGAGAAGCCGTACAACCTTTAAGCTTATCTGATTTATGTCCCTTACATCCTGCTGTCAAGGAGAACATGGCACTTAGGCACCGGGGCATACTATTCCATGGCAGAGAAGGGTTTCTCTGAGTCACCTGCGGGCAAACGATCGCTTGCTATTCTAAGTCCATTGTGACTCACAGTGCTTCCTCCTCCAGATGCATCTCCTGAAGCGGTCGGCTCGATCCTGGGAGTCGGCACCGTGAACGGGGACCTCGGAAGCCCCTCCGATGATGAGGACATGCCCGGGAGCCGCCAGGACAGTCCGGGCTGTGCCAACGGGGCAGTGTCTGAGGACAGCACCACGGACGTCACGCCCAAGCACTCTTTCAGGACTAGCTCCACGCTGGAGATGGACACGGAGGAGCTGACCTGTGCTTCTTCGCGCACCTCCCCGCCCAGGGGCCGCCAGGACTCTCTCAATGATTACTTAGATGCTCTGGAGCACAATGGCCCCTCCCGGCCGGGGGCTGCGACCTCAGCCGAGCGGCCCATGGGCGCCTCCCCGAAACTTAGGAGCAGCTTTCCCACGGACACCAGGCTCAGTGCCATGCTGCACATCGACTCCGACGAGGAGGAGCACGAGCTCCAGCAGGACCTCGGCTTCCCGTCCTCCTTGGAGGAGGACGGAGGGCTGGTCATGCTCGGCAGGGCACCCAGGGCTGACGAGGGGAGCCTGAGCTCTCAGACCAAGCTGGAGGATGCCAACCCAGTGGACCTGGAGGAACGCTCCATGCCCGAGGCTGCATCCTCTGAGGATAAGCCGGAGGATCTTCCCGAGCTGGCCGAGGGCTCCGAGGGCCCGGCCCCCGAGGAGTGTGAAGCTGTTGGCCCAGACTCCCAGCCTGGGTCAGAGCAGGGCAGCACGGAGCTGTGCGGCTCCCAGGAGGCTGAGCAACCCATGAGCGGGGCAGACACGGGCACCCCCGACACGTCCGGGGGCAGTCGCAGGGCCATCAGCGAGGCTGAGTCCCTGGACCAGGGCTCCGAGCCCTCGCAGGTGTCCTCGGAGACTGAGCCCAGTGACCCTGCCAGGACAGAGAGCGTGAGTGAGGCCAGCACTAGGCCCGAGGGTGAGAGTGACCTGGAGGGCGCCGACAGCTCCTGCAACGAGAGCGTGGCCACGCAGCTGTCCTCGGTGGACACACGCTGCTCCTCGCTGGAGAGCGCGCGCTTCCCCGAGACTCCAGCCTTCTCCTCACAGGAGGACGAGGATGGAGCCTGTGCGGCTGCTGAGCACCCAGGCCGCGGGCCAGGCCCAGAGGCCTTGTGCACCCCAGGGATGTTGCCAGCTGTTCAGGTGCCTGGCATGCAAGAGGATGCAGCACCCGAGCCTGAGGAGCTGGGCGAGGTCTGGCAGCGCAGGGCGGGCCTGGAGGGCGCCACGGCCATGGAGAGCCAGGAGCTAGGAGAGGAGGAGGCCGGGGAGGATGCGGGGGAGGACGCTGGAGCCTGCGAAGGGGCCACAGCGCAGGTGCGCGAAGAGGAGGGCGCCACAGGAGGTAGGCTGTGTCCCTGGGCCGCGGGGGAACTGAGCCCCGCTGGGAAGGAGGGGAGGGACAGTAAGTGACTGTGAGTCCTGATGTGTCTCCTGCAGCTCAGAGCTGGGGACCATGCAGCCAGGGAGGGGGCCTCCTGCGCTTACAGGGCAAAAACCTGCTCTTTTCCGAAGTGCAGAGCCACATGATCTGCATCTCCAGGTGGGAAACCAAGTAGGGCGGCAGCGGGGCCCCCAATGGAGCCTGCAGAGGTTTTCGGGGCCACCAAGTCTCACATAAGTGCATGTGCTTGCGTGCGAGCGCGCGTGCGCACCCCCCCTTCCCCCCCACACACTCCGTGAAGCTCCAGAGCAGAAGGTCACAGTGTACTTGCTCGCCTCTCCATCTTCTCCGAGGTGAGAAAGGTCAGCTGGGCAGGCGATGCATGGTGACCTGTCCAGTGGCTGAAAATGCAGATATGCGCGGCAGGCTGGATTGGACCTCGACCAGTGTGCTTTCTGGAAGAGTCCCTTAGGAGGCTCCGAGTGATGCGTTCACGTGCCAGGGGTCTCTTCATATGCTTCCAACAGCAATAGCAAGGATTTCCTTATCCTATGATTTGTTTTTCTGGCCTCAGTTTCCCCTTGTTCTTTTCCTCTTTTTCCTGCTTTGTTCCTGTTGCCCTCATAACTTTGTGGCTGCTCTACAGCCCTGGACAGGGCAGAGGTGAGGTGGGGAGGACCCCCATGCAGGACAAAGGACATTCTCCATGAGCCCCTGGGAGCCCACGGCTGCTGCCTGTTCCTCCTTGTGTTTCTGGGCCTGATGGGAAATGAGCCCCAAAGCAGCAGAGGGACCCCAGCCCCCAGATGTGCTCCGTGCTTACTGGCACATGTGCTGTCCCTCAGCAACACACCGGTAACTTCAACTTTAATCCTAGGTTCGCCAGCCAACGGCCACCAGCCTTTGCGGTCGCTGCCTTCGGTGCGCCAGGATGTCAGCCGGTACCAGAGGGTGGACGAGGCTCTCCCGCCAAGTAAGCAGCTTTATTGAAGGGCTGCCTGAGTCCTGGGTGACAGGGGCAGGTGGGCCGTCCCTGGGCCCTGGGAGGAGGAGGCAGATCCTGGATGACTGGAGAACTCAGGGCTCTGGACTCTGGTGTTATTCTGCAAAGAGCAGCGGGGAGCGGGAGCCCTGGGCCAGATCCAGGCAGCACAGGCAGGCGGGGGCGTGAGAGGGTGATTGAAGTCACAGCCCAGGGCAGGGCGGATGCCTTCCGCTTGGCAGGCAGATCACAGGCTCTTAGGAGACTGTGCTCCAGAGCGGGCTGCTCTTGGTGCACTTGCGTAATTTTCGATCATGAGGCGGAAGAGTTGTGCATTCCAAGAATTAGCCTACCATGGGGAGCAGGCATTCAACTGTTGTCTAGGGATTCAAAAGAAGTGTGCTTGCTTTCAGAACACACCGAACCCATGAAAGAGAGAAAACAGTCGCACAGCCAGCATTCACAGGAGTGGGTGACACTCGTGCCATGTGGGATCTGGACACAGTTTCTCCCCATTTAAGTCCTGGAAGCCCGTACAGCAGGGCAGGCAATGAGCGAGGGCGCAGCTGGGAAGCTGGCGCAGCGGGAGGCCCTGGAAGGCCGGCCCTTGGGCTCTGTCACACCTTCTCCCACCTTCCTCTCTCAGCCTCTTCTGAGGGATGCTAGGTGTCTGGCCTGTGGCCCTTTGTGGTGTGAAGCGTGGGGCATAAGGGGCAGGGCACTTGCCTTTCTAGGGCAAAGATGTTGTGAGGTTCGTTTTGGTGAGGACCAGGCAAGAGATGGCAGACACTAGTTTTTCAGTTGCTGGGTAGATTTTCTTCCCATTCTGCTGTGCATGGATCCTTCTGTCCTTCAGACCTCGGGGAACAGGGCTGTTACTTATAGGCAATGTATTTTAAGCAGGATAGACAGACAGACAGACAGACAGACAGACAGACAGACAGACAGATATGGACTAGCCATATGGCACCTGAAGTGGGTGGAAGAGAAGGAGAGAGATGGCCTTGGATTTACCTTTGGAGAAAACTTAGAGTCAGGAAGGAGGGTCCTCCAGGAAGACCTTGAGGTGTGACAGACAGGCACAGTGTGGATGTGGAATGGCAGGAAAGGGTGCTGCAGAACTTTGTTCCTAATGGATGTGAGGGTTTGTGGTGACTGACTGGTTGGCACCTTGGGGGCTACCCGGGAGGTTCAGCATTGCACGATGCGGTGATGAACGGCATCCTCCTGGCCACGCCCAGTGCCCTGGTATTTGTTGGACTTAATGCCAGTCCTTAAGTGGTGGTCAATAAAGACAGGTACTTCCTTGCTGAATTTAGGGTCACTACTTGGAATCGCCCCATATATCTGCTTCATGCTGACACTCGGTGAAGCAGATAAAATCTATCTGAGGAACCTGCACTAACAATTGCTAGCTCACTTAATAAGTCAATATAACCCAATGTAAAGGCAATTTACAGCAGTGTCCTACTGCAGGAGTGAATGATGAGCTGGCAGGGAAGCCCTCAGATGTGTTCCTTCGATGTGGTGACTTCCAGGGTGGTGGCTGGTCCCATCCACAGGACGCCACCACCTGTGAGCCTCCCACCTCAGAGGAGAGCTGCAGTGTTTGAAAGGAGGCCCTGGTATTCGTGGCTGGGATTCTAAACAACTTGAAATGACAGGACAATCTCAACAACAAAGAATTGTCCTACTCCAAGTTCTAACAGTGTCCTCACTGAGAAATGTACTAATGTAGTTAATATTAACAATAAAATAACGTCACTTTTTAAACATAGCTAGAATTTCTATATAATGACTCAGAACTAAAAGTGTCTCCCTCTAAAAATGAAGTTAAACCCACTCGTACACACATGCACCTGCACACACACATACACTCGTGTTGAAGGAGCATGCCATGGCCAGGCATAGGTTACAGGCTAGGGCCTGAGCATGCCTGACTGCTGTCCACTCTGCCCCATCCCCGGGTGTCAGCTCTGGTACTCGTGTGCTCACTTCTTTGTCGACCCAGCCTGCTGTCTGCCTTGCTGTATTCCTGGACACCCCACTGCCACCTTCTTGTGCCCTGCCTGACAGTGGGGCCATCTCCCCTCTCCTGCAGCCCAGGTAAAGGCACCTGTCACAGGGAGCAGACCAGTCAGTCTTAAACAATTTGGCTGCATTATTTGGTGGCCGACAGCTCCACTTTTTAAAGCACTGTTTGTTATGCTAACTCAAGTTTGTCTACAGGCTTTGCATTTTATTGTTGTTTTAATAATAGATCAAGTAGGCCCCACAAGATAGCTCAGCAGTCTAAAAAGCCTGCTTAGGCAAGCTTAGGTAAGCATGCAGGGACTGCAGTTTGATCCCCAGCACCACATGCCATGCCAGCCCTGCCCCCAGGGAGGGCTGAGCTGGCCACAAACTAAATAAATTAAATTTAATTTAATTTAAAAAATAATAGATCAAGTAGGTCTTATTTGAAATCTGTACTGACCCACGGAAGTCAGCTGATTGGGTTGTTTCTAGAAGAAGCCATATAAATGAAGGAACTTACTTAAGAGTCCATGCTCATGAGAGGAGAGGCAGAGTCTGGGATGTCACCTCCTGCGTCAGGTAGACCTGTCAGGACCAGAAGGCCTGTGGTGTGGGTGGGAGCTGCCAGTCCTGGTGTTGGGTGGAGGCAGAGGGGTGCCATGCTAGCCTGTCGGGTGGGCACCAGCAGCACCTCACGCTCACAGGATGCGGGCCTCACGGAGCAGCATCAGAGTGTTGTGCTGTGGGGTCCATGCAGGAAGCTCAAAGCACACTCGGCTGCCCTCCTGGGACATATGCACACAAGGACCCTCCGGGAGGCCAGGTGGCTCCGTCCGGCCAGGTTTGCCCTGGGCAGAGCTGTGTCACATTGAGCGGCACCTTTTCCTTTTCGTGTGGTCACTGTCCCCACCCACAGGACTTCTACAGCACAGCTTTGGGCTTGAGTGTTGCTCAAACTGGGCTTATGCCCTCCTGCCATCATTGTTGTTCTTAGCTCATTTTTACCTTATAAACTATTTGTGTGCTAACATTCGGTGAGGAAGCTGTCGAGCAAAATCATGCTCCGCTTTGAAGACTGTTTTTTTCTGTACTGGGAACTAAACCCAGAGCCCCTTATTTAGCTACCTCCCCAGCCCTCCCTTTATGTATTTGTGTAGGTGTGTGTTTATGTGTGCACTTATGTGTGTACTTATGTGTGTCTTTGTATGTATTCTTATGTGTGTACTTATATGTTTATGTGTATATTTATGTGTGTACTTATGTGTGTTCCTATGTGTGTACTTACGGGTTTTGAGACAAGGCCTCCCTAAGTCACTGAGCTGCCCAGGCTGGGCTCCAGCTTGCCGCCTTTCTGCCTCAGCCTCCCAGGGAGCTGGGATAACAGGCTCCAGTCCTTTGCAGGTTTAAGAACCCCACGAGGAGGATTGGGGTCCCCTGCTGCACTGCTTCTGCCGTGTCACTGATCACATGTTATACACACATCAAGGGAACAGCTCTTTGAGCCCTCTGAGGAAGAGCAGGGGTTATCCTGTCCTCTCTCCCTGTCGTAGGCGCCCTTCTCAGGACTGGGGACAGAGCTTAGCCTCAGGAGCGACTGCTCAGCTCTGCTGTAAGTTTCCACTTGGTTCTCACAATCCTCGGCGTGCCACACACCTGCAGTGTCCCCGCGGGCTGGGTCCTCCAGCCACCGCTGACCTGTCCTGAGCACTCATAGCCTGACAGTGCCCAGGAAAGCATCTTGGGCCCGGGCGTGTGCCAGCACGCAGGGGCGGGCCACCTCTTCGGTCTGAGGGCACAGCGGTGCAGGCAGCTACAGGCTGGCGGGCCGAGGCCTGCTGGACGTGAGCGTGTGCCAGCTGTGGCCCTCGTAGCATGAGGACGAGGAGAAGAGAGCGGGCAGCCTGGCGCTCCCTGGAACACGCCGGCGCCAACACAGAGCTGTTACACAGGCGTTTCCTCCTTGGGGCAGTTGTCCTGGGACTCGGGCTTGGTCACGAGGTACAGCCTGGATGAGGGGACCCCACGGGGACCCCTAGCAGCCAGGTTGCCAAGAGTCCTGATGGCCACAGGTGGCTTGCCAGGGATGGCACAGGGAGACATGT